TATTTTTGAGACAGAGACAGAGCGTGAGCAGGGGAGGGGCAGAGAGAGAGGGAGACACAGAATCCAAAGCCGGCTCCAGGCTCCGACCTGTCAGCACAGAGCCCGCCGAGGTGCTCAGACTCACGAACCTCGAGATCATGACCTGAGCCGGAGTCTGACGCTTAACCGACTGAGCCACCGGGCGCCCCATGTCTTTTGTTCTAACGTGGTGACTCTGGGTGGGCTCCTGGAGAGCTTCAGGATGAGGGCCGGTCACCAGATAGAAAGGCCAAGGCTTCATTAGCAACTTGGAACTCGCAGCCCTCCTCTGGGGAGGTGGGAAGGGCTGGGGACTGAGATAAGGATGCGTCCTGTGCACGGGACGATCCCTGGACCACAGGATTTGGGCAGGTGCGCACAGGGAGCTGTGCAGAGGGTGGCACACCCAGAAGTGGGGGGGGTGTCTCTCTCCTCCCCACCCCCCCGCCCCCACCCTCCCGGTGCGTCTCCCCGGCCGGTCTTCCTTGACCATAAACCGGAGATCTAGCAAGTAAACCGTTTGCCTGGGTTCTGTGAGCCCTTCTGGCAAATTAACGAACCCAAGCGGGGGGCCGTGGGATCCCCTGATCTGCGGCCAAGTGGAACAGAAGTGTGTGGGTGACCTGAGGCCCCACTGTCAGAAATTGTCCCCTGAAGCAGCGGGTCTCCTGGGGTGGGAAGGGGTTAGGCGCTTAGTAAGCACTCAATAAATGTGTGTTCGGTGGCTTTTGTGTTGCCCCAAAGTTGACTTTGTTCAGACCCAAGACGTAAAAGCATGTCTAGCATGCTGCCTCACAGCATTCCTGCCCTGAGGAAGGGGACCCTCCCCTTCTGCTGGGGGTGGGGGTGGCTTAGAGAGCATTCCTGTCAACACCTTTCGCGGCTCTTGTTTGTTTCGTCTGCAAGGCAAGGGGTCAGGCAGGGCCCAGACCCCCACAGGGAGAAGGTGGGGTGGCCGGTTGGGTGGGGCCTCCTGGCCTCAGGCCAACGACAGCCCCATCTTCTCCTGACCTGACCTGTGCCTCCCCCAAGCTACCCCAGTCCGCCAGGTCACGTACTCCCCAGCCTACGCCTGCCGGCCCGTGGGGCCCCCCGGGCACTGATCCCAGGCCTGCCCTGCCCTGTGCCAGGGGACGGTGGTGAGCTCTGAAAGAAATGACGGCACCCACGGCAGGAAACACACCGCAGGCCCTGCGGCTGGGGCACAGCGAGCCCAGGCCGAGCCTACAGGATGGGGACGGGGAGGGACCGCGGGGCTCAGAGTCCTAGGGTGACGCAGACGGACACCAGAGAAAAGTCAGGGACGCTTGAGGTAGCCTGTCGCACAGAGCTCTTCGGGAAGAGTGGGCTCTAAGGCAGATGCTGGCCCTGCTCCACCCTCTGCAGGGACCAGCTGGTGGCCTCACGGTGGTGACTCGGGCCCTCTCAGCCCCGACTCCCACAGGCCATGGGGACGGCACAGTCCATCCCTAAGGCGGGTGGCAGGAAACAGGTGGACAGTGGAGGTCCTCAGAGGGCAAGCTGGGCATGCGGCAGAGGGGTTCGGGGCTCCAGGGACAGGGTCCCTCTGACTCCCCCAGCACGGCTCCGGCCAGGCAACCCCCGGCAGGCGTTAGAAGACAAGGGGACCCTCGGGTCACCTGAGAACGCCTGGCCTGTGACCGTCAATGCCCCTCCCAGGTGTCCTCGGTCCCAGACCAGGGGGAAGCAGTGCCCTCCCCATAGGCTCCTGGAGCCTTTGGCCATCGTGGGTGCACCGACTGAACAGGGGAAATGACCGGGGTCCTGGTTCCTGTCCCCTAGCGGGTGGCTGGATGTGGCCAGGCCTGGCTGAGCGCGAGGGGCAACTCTTGGGTTTCACGCTGGCGACCATTTGGGGCACTTCTCCTATCACCTTATCCCAAAGGTACCAGAGCTCAGCCCTGTGGGGAGGACACCCCACGTCGTCTTTCTTCCTACACACTGGACTCTCCCAGACCCCCGGGACCCGCCAGGGCCACGTGTCAACCTTACATCCCGAAGGGGTAACCCGGACAAGAGACCAGGGTGCTGACTGTCCAGGAGCCCACCGGGCTGCCGTGGACCGGTCCCTGTGTGTGGGGGGGTGTCTGTGGAGGTCCCACGACCCACCTGGCCTCTGGCTTACAAGTTGCCTCTGCAGGCCTGGGGATGTTCACACCCCGCACAGGACTCTTTGCGGGGGACCCACCGCCTCCTAGGCTCCCCAGCCGCGGGCCCCTCACCACCCCCCGGGGCCCAAATACACCAGGAACCACCACAGGCTCCTCTCCATCCAGCCCACATCTTTGCTCCGCTGGGGCCGAGGCCTCGGCAGCAGGCAGGAGCTGAGTGGAGGGCCACCTTCCGACCTGGCCTCCCCCCGTGGCCGTCCTGCCCAGGGATGGAGACCATTCTCCTGGGGTCAGCTTCCCGTCCCCCTGACCCATCCGGGGAAACTGTCCTCCGAAAACCTCCAGTGGCTGCCAGCCTGGCCCCCCCGCCTTCTGTACCCCACACTGTGCAGCCCGAGACCTGGCCCATGGCCCCCTCTTCTCTGTCCCTGGGTCATCTGGGGACACCCACCAGTGGCCCCCTGACCCCTCTTCCCTGTTCACCGGGCACTTTCATCTGGTTTCTCATCACCCTGATACCCCTCCCCCACCTTGGGGTGCCCAGCAGGACCCACAGAGGGCAGGCCGAAGGCGGGTGGGGGGGCCGGGCCCCTCCAGGGCTGCTGGGTGCAGAAAGGAGCAGCTCAACCCGCTGCCCAACTCCCCCCACCCCCAGCCAATTCAAAGGCACGCATTCCTGGACGTCCCAGATGCCCCTGGTCCTCACCTTTTGTTCCCCGTCGCCCCTTCAGAAGGAAGGTCTGATGTCCGCACGCGGAACGTTTCCCTATCCCACCTCGGCCTCCCTTGGCTGAGCCGGCTGTCCTGTCCTGACCACAGACGCGCTGTGGGACCCCGCATCTCGACGGAGCCGGTTCCCTGCCAGTCCCTGTGCCCTCATCCTGGAAGGAAGTCCAGCCCTCACCCCACAGGCTCCCGCAGGCTCCGGCTGCACCAGACCTGGAAGCAGACCCACTCGCGAGTGGGCATTCCTCCCTCCTCCCTCCTGAGGCTTATTGGAGAAGCTATGGTTTTGCTGAACCCATGTGACACTTTTCTGGGGTCATCGCGGTCCTGGTTTTGTTTCATTTCTCCACCTGCTCTGAAATAAAAGCAGTTTAAAGGTTCCTAGTTTGTGAGACGAGTAAGGATTCCATCCGAGGGTGAGGGAGAGAGCCAGAGAGCTAGCCCCGGGGCAGCTGGGAGAGCAGGGTGGCGCTGAAGGCAGTTCTGAGCTCACTGCGTAAATACAGCCTCAGGTCCGGCCGGCGTCCAGTCCTGCCCCCCA